CTATTTGCCACGTGATGTGAAAAAGCACAAGTGCGCCTTCGGTTTTGACGCCACAGCCGACGCCTCCACCAGGCGCATGACTCCGTCGCCCTGCCAATGTTTGCTGGGCGAATCGTTGCTGTGGAAACGGAACCATACATGATGGAGGGGGGGATTGTGACGTGTGGTCTGTAGTGTGGCGTAGTAGAGCTGGTGTGCTTTGCATTAGACGCATTTCGTACAAACATAACCTTTCGTAAGGCTTTGACTCTAACTAGCAATCATTTGCCTTTTCTGTGATGCATTTTAGGGTTCCAAAGATTTTTATTTAAATTTAAAACTCCTGTATTTGTCGCTCCTCAAGCAAGGTTTACGTCAACACATCCCCTCTGACTTAAACCCTTTTACCGAGCGCCAAAGATATAATTTGACTGTAAACTGACCTGTAAATTACCACCTTCTGCTACGACGCAGGATACAAAGAGAGAGACTGAGGGGTGTGACCGTTTTTGTTACGCTCACAAGATATTAATTTACGGTCGCCACAGTATAGGAGGAAATCAAGACATAAATGTTTGGAGCACACTGTATATGCGTATTTGTAACATGATACCACACAAATCCAACGCGGAAATTTACAGCGATTATCCAGCCAAGGCATTTCACACGCTGTTATCATATTGGTGTTTTTCCAGTCTCAATTAGGCTTACTGCAAGAATTCTTGCAAACATCTACCAAATTTCGCGGAACAATCAATATAACGACAAGCAATCACTTGAGGGTGAGAATGTAACCAACTTCCAAAACGTCGTGTGTCGTGTTCTTCTTCTGTCTGTCTGCCCGGTAGGGATGTGTCTCTCAGAGGCCTGTGTCTTTGTATCGTCTCGAATCTGGGCCTTTCTTATGTAACCTCTGCCTTTAAAAGCCATTTCACTCCTTGACAGTCATTGAATAAGACAGGCAGAGAGGAAGACGGCGTTGCTATATACTTTAGTACTTTTAGAGAAAACTGCGTCTTTACAATTTGAGAACACAGTTGGAGTTAAAAATATCGTGAGCAAAGTAATTATGTTTCTTTGTCTTTTTATATAATTACAAATCATGTTTATCCGTGCGAATAACCCACACGTACATATCTTTTGATGTGAGATATTTTTGGGCAGATCAATGGACCTGTCGTCAGACAGAACACTCAATAATAATAACACTTCTCTCTCATTTAAAATATTCTTATCTAGCTCCTGCGTAAAAACAATTTCCCAGTGCTACTTAATGGCAGCTTTCAAATAAGGTGAATCAACGACGCAGGAAATAGTGGAAATTCACCCTCAGACATAGTAAAAATATCGACTGGTATCGATCCACTATTTGCCACGTGATGTGAAAAAGCACAAGTGCGCCTTCGGTTTTGACGCCACAGCCGACGCCTCCACCAGGCGCATGACTCCGTCGCCCTGCCAATGTTTGCTGGGCGAATCGTTGCTGTGGAAACGGAACCATACATGATGGAGGGGGGGATTGTGACGTGTGGTCTGTAGTGTGGCGTAGTAGAGCTGGTGTGCTTTGCATTAGACGCATTTCGTACAAACATAACCTTTCGTAAGGCTTTGACTCTAACTAGCAATCATTTGCCTTTTCTGTGATGCATTTTAGGGTTCCAAAGATTTTTATTTAAATTTAAAACTCCTGTATTTGTCGCTCCTCAAGCAAGGTTTACGTCAACACATCCCCTCTGACTTAAACCCTTTTACCGAGCGCCAAAGATATAATTTGACTGTAAACTGACCTGTAAATTACCACCTTCTGCTACGACGCAGGATACAAAGAGAGAGACTGAGGGGTGTGACCGTTTTTGTTACGCTCACAAGATATTAATTTACGGTCGCCACAGTATAGGAGGAAATCAAGACATAAATGTTTGGAGCACACTGTATATGCGTATTTGTAACATGATACCACACAAATCCAACGCGGAAATTTACAGCGATTATCCAGCCAAGGCATTTCACACGCTGTTATCATATTGGTGTTTTTCCAGTCTCAATTAGGCTTACTGCAAGAATTCTTGCAAACATCTACCAAATTTCGCGGAACAATCAATATAACGACAAGCAATCACTTGAGGGTGAGAATGTAACCAACTTCCAAAACGTCGTGTGTCGTGTTCTTCTTCTGTCTGTCTGCCCGGTAGGGATGTGTCTCTCAGAGGCCTGTGTCTTTGTATCGTCTCGAATCTGGGCCTTTCTTATGTAACCTCTGCCTTTAAAAGCCATTTCACTCCTTGACAGTCATTGAATAAGACAGGCAGAGAGGAAGACGGCGTTGCTATATAGCCAAGAATTTAAACTTTAGAGACAGGACTTTTTGAAAAATAAAATGTATGTTAACAGACAAGACGAGAACATAAATGTTGTCGCACCATGAGAATATTTTGTCAGTATTTCAGACGTCTGGAACAAGAGAAATATGCCACAACGAGACGGCTTATGTGCAGACGCCTGTTTCAGAGGCGGGAACGGCGTCTCAGTGCGATAGATTTACATTGCGAGAACGCAGATTGGCCCAGGTCTCCCCTTTTTATCACCTCCTCCCATCTATAAAAATACTAGTTATATCGATGTTGGTCTTCTAGATTGTAATTATAATGTTTTCATAATTTTAATAACGAATTTCGTAACCATGGTAAACAAGTATGATGGCCTAAATGTGAAATGATGTTACAAAATGTTCAGTTTCGTAAAACTAGGCGGTAGAAAAATGTTGTATGATTTCCTGTATAAAACAATGGAGCGCTTAGCAACCTGAAATACGTTTGAAGGCGTCAAGGTGACACATACACACGTTTCGAAATTAATAAAGTGGTTTTAGATGGAAAACAATGTCATTGTTGGGTAGGAAATTGTGATTCTTCTGGCTAATGGAAAAACAAAGTTTTACAAATATTTTTATATAGATTTCTCGCTAGTATTTTACCACATTATCTAAAAAGTGTTAGCCGCTAAGGTTGTTGTGTTATCGCATTTGTCACTTTTATCACGCAGAGTAAAATAATGCGTCATACAGAAATTTTCCCCAGACAAATTTTGACATGCATACTGTCACTGGTTAATCATAATCATTGTTACAAGAAAGGGTAAGAGTAGAATCCTCGACACCATTTACGGTCTGCGAGTACAATTCTAATATGTGGACTGACTTTGTAAGTCCTGTTTCGCAGAGCCTGTCTTACATAGATGGAAAAAAACGAATTGAGACAGAGATAAGAACTATGAAAAGATAAGATGAAGATTTCTGTCTTCTGGATTGTTGCGCTGTGTAGTCTGGTCGATGTTTACCAACGTTTCAGAGGTCATACTGCCTCCGTCATCAGGGCGATGAGTATGAAGATTACTGTCTTCTGGGTTGTTGCGCTGTGTAGTCTGGTCGATGTTTACCAACGTTTCAGAGGTCATACTGCCTCTGTCATCAGGGCGATGACGGTATGACCTCTGAAACGTTGGTTAACAACGTTGGTTAACATCGACCAGACTACAGCGCAACAACCCAGAAGACAGAAATCTTCATACTCACCGTGTGAAAACCTCAAATCTTACAAAAGATAAGATGACTGCACATCTGCCTCGTCATGGATTGGATTGTACTTCGCCCTACTCCTCAGGACGAACTGAAGAGGAATTCGAAGTGACAAACGAACAGAGGCGGCCGAACCCTTGCTACCGCTACGGGCGGCATGTGTCAGGAATTCCACGCTGTGAGGAGGAGAGGGAATTGAAAGATCAAATAGAAGGAGCTCTGATCTTATACATAGAACCCTTCAGATATTTCAAGTACAGTCAGTCTAGGCGCGGATGAGACGGCAGGTTTTACACTGACGCAGGTTGTCACGCGAATGAGACAGCAGGCAGTCCTTTCTCTTCTTGGCCGCTGTGTGGCTGGTGAATCTGCATAAAGGGGACTTTCATTTGTACTTTTTTTCAAATAGTTTATTATTAGGTTGATGAAAGAAAGGAGGATGGGGCAAGGTGGGGGAGTAACGAGAAGTGCATAGAAAAATCGAAATCATAGAACGTGAGGGACAAATGGCGTGGGACTGGAATTTGTCTGATTTAGGATATGGAACAGTAACGGGCTCTTTTGTGAATACGGGATGAATCTTCGGGCTCCATAAAACCCGGGAGGGAAAAATTTATTGACTCAGTGGACAGTAGCTCTTCAAGGACACTGCTCCATGGAGAGAGCCCTCCCCCCGCCCCCCAACATTAAATATAGCCCAGAAAATGTTCCCCTTTACAAAGGCAGAACGATAGATGTGATGTCGAATGATAAAAATTTCAATGTCCTGTCCGATGCTTTCAGCCCCATGTTCCCTGTGTGCTACCCGTTATCCGGTCTTGCTGAATAAACAAGTTATTGTTCTCGGAAAAGCATCGCTTACGTAAGAATGCTACCTTCGGCGCATATATTATTAAGTGCATGTACTTCTCGGACGTCATGTATTTGAGGACAATACTGACCATAAAATACCTCATCAATCACTTTCGCGATAAAGGTTGGCTATCAGTCGCCAGCTGCACTACGTTTTACGCTATAAAGCATAGTAAACGTTGGAATACTAACCAGGAGTTGCAGTTAGTGCCCGTACTATTATACTTCGCTCACGATGTCTAAGGAATGCATTTTATTAACTTAAAGCCACTGCCGCGCACAGAAACGCAATGTAAGGCTTCGTGTAAAGTTGTCCAAATTTAACCAAAAATGGAATATGCCGACAAATGTTAGTAAAAGCGTACAATTTCGTGAAAATCATCTCGGCCGCTCTCGAGTTGGTACATTTAGACATGACGAAGCTAACAGGTGAACTATCGCAGTCAGGCCCAAAAAAAATACCAGTTGTAAAAAATATCGTCAGCTGAAGAATCATATTTTCCCAGCCGATTACTATTTCATTTCAGACAGTTATTATTTACAGTACCCATCGAGAAGAAGGGCTGAAGCTAACCCTGGAGTTTAATCGAACATACACGTAATATTAATGTTTATATTTAATAGTTTAATGAGAAACATTGAAGTGTCTAGTTGGCAACAGTGGGAATACAGAATATAGGTCAAGTTGGACTCTCACAGAGTCGCTAGACAGGAAGAGATGCATACACTTACTAAACTAGTTGCGTGGTGTAGAAAAAGCCGCTGACTTATCTTGTGACAAGAAGCTGGAACTGATTACTCACATCGTTAATAAATCAAGGGACGTGGCCTTCACAGCTTGCTACATTTGCCCCCGGCAGCAAAGGTAACCAAGAGCTCCTCTTGAAATATCTCATCTTGGCACCTGCTATAGGCTGAGTCACTCTTCGCAGGCGAGAGAAGTGATTTTGTCCCTGGTGGAAACGGGACTGAAAACAAGCAGAAAAGAGAAGTCATTGAATATATTTACAGAAAGTGGTTTGAAACACGGACAACGCAAGAGTACAATGTTTCTCTGTTCTTGTTAAATGGAAATCTGTCTGGAACAGAAAGTGAGTTTATTAGAAGAAAATATAAACAAAGAAAGGAAGAGACTGATGACGAGAAGGTGAAGGAAAGGAGGAACGAAGGAAGAAAAGAAAAGAAAAGAGAAATGTTATCTCAAAAGGAAAAACAAACAAATAAAAAGTAAATAAAGCAAGAAATGAAATGCATAAACGAGAAGGAAGGCAAACAAAACTCTGATTAGGAAGGGGAGAAATGCAAAGTATGTGTGTAAATATGAAACAAAACAGACAGAAAATAATTTGAGAAGAGGAGAAAACTAAAAGTGTCACCGACTAGATTCTGTATAACGCAACATTTTAAATCTTGGTTGTGACTCTGTTGTCATGGCTTGATCGTCAGATCCTCGTTTATGAAAACTGTCTACTAAGTGCAAAGAACATTTCTGTTATCAAGAAAGCTTAAGCCACGACATATCCTTGACAATCCTCCAACTGGATTAGATTTTACTGGGATACTTCGATTTCCCTTGACAGTCTGCATTTCATACAACCATCAGATCAACCAGGTGTAGCAACAGAGTGGTATTTGGCCGCTTCTGTTTGCCCCTAACTTGACGACTGCACCCCATAAATTCTTCCGGGAGCTGCCACCAGGAGCGAAATTGCAGACGAACAGCAAGTGTTTGTGTAGTCAACACAGACATATGACCTGCTCTTCAGGCGTCGCCTTATCAGTTTGCCGATTACACAGCATTTCTTGGAAAACTGGGGATGTGGCTGTTAATTCCAGTGCAAATTTACACACGGCCATCTGCCGCCAGTGGTTTAGTAAGTAAGTTACATCGCAGTCAGATTGTGGCTTATTGACGACGGTCGGGTATCAGATTTCTGATATTTTATGGAAAAGAAACGGGTTTAGCAGAGTCACTGACTGCAATGGTCTGAACCTCCCTCCGAAAATAAAATCAATTTCAGGTGATAACTAACTAACTAACTAACTAACTAGATGGCTTACAGAAGGTTCCTCACCGAATTCGCCAGTGCCCTCCACCGGACCCTGTCCTGGGCCAACAAAATCCAGTCCCCTTCAACTTCTATCTCCCATAGATCCCGCCTGACATTAACTTCCCATCTACGTCTAGGTCTCCCCAACGGTCTCTTCCCAACCAATACCCGGTGCACACCTCTTGTCCCATCCATGCACGCTGCATGTCCCACCCATCTCATTCTTCTCGACTTAATCACCCTGACAATACTAGGGGAGGAGTACAGATTTTTAAGCTCATCATTATGCAGTTTTCTCCATACCCCATCGTCTTCCCTCTTAGGCCCAAATATCCTCCTCAACACCCTGTTCTCAAACACCTGCAATCTGTGTTCCTCCCTCTGAGTGAAAGACCATGTTTCGCACCCATGCAAAATTAAATTTGATATGAACTGAGTACCGAATGTCGCGTGAGAGTGGTTAGC